CAGAACAATGCTACCATGAAGAAAGTATATAAGGAGTATATACCAGATAGAACTACAATTATGGGGTGGCAGAAGAGATTTAAAAGAGACGATTTGACCCTGTATGACAACTTCAAACATGGGAGGCAAAAACTCCACAAGTCACAGTGGAAGAAATTGCCGAGAGTGTTTGACCTGACAGGCATCAAAAATACACAACATGCAAAGGACAATATTTTGAGAAAATGTGAAATGGTACACTGTGCAATATACATCCATTAAATCTAGGATGTGCTCATAGTAATTTAGTATCTTAAAATGTATTATTGAGCATACTTAGCTTCTCATAGCTAGACCAAATGGTATTTGTTGATTAATTATTTCATATTTTCAATTTGTTATTCCTTTTGACGTGACTGTATAACCTGTCCCGCCCTGCCCAAACTCACCATCTTGATTTTATTATAACATAAATATAGTTTTATCACTCAACATGAACATTTCTAGAATAATCAAAATGTCCCTAAGGAACATTTACTGAAAATTTCATGGAAAAATATCAATTATTGATAAAGTTAGAGCATATAGTGCATTACTTCTGGGTCAACCCTCGTATATAACGATTCCTGCTGACATAAGACTTTCTGAAATACGTTACGCGATAAAATTGTTGATGAAATTGTGATTTAATTGTAATTTCGACATAATCATAAAAACTTCGGCGGAACAATTGATGTTCTCTTTACCTCAAGAAAATGTAAAGAAGTCGGGACATCATGTTGTGCAACAAACGTTGCACAGAAGTTAATGTACTGCAGCATTCGTTTTGAATTTCTGCACATTTGTGGATATATTGAACACGATGCCCATGTCAAGCAGCGTGCCTACTAGGCACGCAGTTTGAAACTCTGACAAACTGCGCGCATATTTCAAAATGTGAGACGGGGAGGACACGACTCCCAAAAAGAGCCAAAATACGAAAAATACAAGGTTAGTCTCGTTCTAAAGATAGTACCATTCTGTGAAGATGAACTTAATTTACTCATAGTACTCAATGTTTTTCCCGATGTAAACCTAGTTATCTCAATATAAGGGTCTTAAGTAACTTCTGTGTTCAGAATTTACAGTGTAATGTTATATCTATGTCTTTTTATCGTAAATTGCCGTTTATTCAGCCATTGTGTCTGTGTATGCAAGAATATATAGGATCACTCCATCTGATTAAAACAGCAAAGTTTGTGTTCAAAACGATAATACGCCATAAACGTGATTTAAACATTTTTCTTGTCAAACTGCGCGCCTATATTCACATGTATTTCCCAAACTGCGTGCCTAATATTTCAAAACTGCTTGCCTATCCAAGCTTGTTTTGTATTATTAGAAAACATAAGCGCCATACAAGGCACATATCATGTGTCTAATAGTAGAACCCCATAATTGAAACACTATATATGAGAGTCCATCCACCAAGATGGTGATCTGAAAATAAATGTTTTTTTCGTTCCCAACTTAATTGTCACTTCTATTATACATTTTGACTTTCAATATGAAAATCTCATAAAATCTGACGATAAAGCAAAATTTCCAAAGCTACATCGAAAACACCTACACGTACCTCTGTAGAAATTCCAATGATAATATGTAGTTTTAATAGTGTATGCGCACAGATTGTAATTTCTGGCTAAAATAGGCGCGCAGTTTGTGGTTTATTTCTTTTTAATCTCCTGATTATCTGTTTTATTTCGAAATATTTTGAATTAAACATGATAAATGTGTAAGGAATTAAATATAAAACGAGTCTAAACTATTTGTCATTTATGTTTAAAGTGCTAGATCGATTTACGTATAAATTCCCATTAAATCAGTGACGAAAATACCATTAATCTGCTTATGTTTTAAAACTAAGATTCATTTGCACACAGTTTTTGCTAGTATTTGCAAGATTCGTATATTCGCCACAGAATGAACGCATTGAACAAGAAAACAATGCAGGATAAATGTTTTTAAATAACGTTTCAAAATACAGACTCCAACTTAAATGATCCAATGTTCTTAGGCACGCAGTTTGTGATCGAAACAAACTGCTTGCCTAAGTAGGCGCGCAGCTTGACATGGGCACCGTGTTGAAGATGTGTTCGACTGCAAGAATGTTATTATATTGAAATGTAATCGAAGAGGATTAACTAAATTGCATTCGACTTTTTTATTTAATTTCAGAACAATGATGTTGACATATCTAGCAGTATTTGCTGCCCTTCTTATAGGCATTGAAGCTGGAGCGCGTGGAGGATCTGATTATGACCCATATATACCCCGGGGTGAGGTTTACACTGGACCATGTGAGGGAGGGTACAAAACATACAATAGGAGAGATTGTGCAGACTCGTACAGGGAACTTAGAAGAGAAAATGCTTATGCTGGTAAATGGAAACATGAGAAATAAAACTATGCAATGCATTTTGAAATACATGTATTATAATATATTTTTCAAATGTGATTCCTAATTACTAAAATTTGAATCTTTGAATTAACTGATCTCTTCCATGGTTGCATTTTTGAACTGCTCGAGGTGCAGTTTGCTCGCGCAGCACTTACTGAGCCATCTAGGTATCACGAAAAGGATCAGTGGACCTTGCAGTGAAAATTGCAAAATCGCATGTTTTCAACAACTAAAAACGGCTCATCCAAGCGCACTAACACTTACTTACATACTTCTTAATTCAATTGAACTCCTGTGATGCATCAGTGACGTAGACTAGCCGGTGCAAATCTGCTTGACGAGGTTGACGAGGTTTAAGCAGTGTAAGTGCTCTTCGATGAGCTGATTTTGTTAAAAATGTATGAAAACATGTAATTTGCGTCACGGAGCTCATTGTTCTTTTTGACATACCTGCGGGGAAAGTGGCTTTTTAAAGCGGCTCTAAGGTCTGTGGAGAGAAAAATGGAGAAATTTTACCTTTTCTGAGCTATCTGGGTGAAGTTTGGTCCAACATCTTCTTCCTTATTCCTATTTTATAAAAATGTATGCATATGGCAATATTCATCAACCAGTAGAACTGGCAAATCGTTTAGAATCTACAATTCCATACAAGGAGTCCCACTCATAGATTTTTCAAATTCTTTCCAAGTCGACGTCGAAACACCTAGTGGGTGAAATCGAAACTAATTTTTCTGGCTGCTCGAATCGATAAAATCTCTGATAGTGTGAGTCTTTTTATGAAATCTTTCTGATAGAAAACACTAAATTAATATTAGAAAGCATTAAATGTTGAATCCGAAGCGAAATCTGAAATAAAAGTGAAAAAACATTGCGCGGACGTCAGAGAGAAACTTCCGGTTTAATAAAAAATGGCGGACGTCGAAGGAGAAATTATGACGAAGAATTAGAGGATTTTCCTTTGCCATTATCGATCGTTATAAGGTATGTGCACAAATTCTAGTTGCATACATGGAAAATAGATACATTTTTAAAGGCAACAACATATTCAAAGCTTTCATTTTACGATAGGCCCAGGATCATTGGATACGACTCGGCAATCGATATTCCCACTTTAATTACACAAATGGCTTCAATGTTGGGCTCAAATTTAAGAAATATTTCAAATTATTCCAAACACAAATGTTATGACATGTCCGACAGCTTAGATCTAGCAGCCTATCGGCTATTGGTTAAAACACATCACGTGATACAAAAGTAGGTCACTGAGCACGTGGCCTGATAAACAATAGATTTTGATGAGTGAATATATCAGCTAACACTACAATTACTAAATTCTAGGATTGAGTATGCAGCAATACACATGGCAATGTGATCATATGTACCAATGGATGTCTCATGCCGCAAATAAGACAGGTGGTGGTGCGAGATTCACAATTGCCCAATCTAACTGGTTAAGAGAACTTTTAGATCATCTGATTGAATCATTGCAGGTTTGATAACAATCCCATATTTTCAAATACTGCGACGATGCATTTGTTGTAAACGCATCTGAGATAATGACTTTACCATCATATTGGACCGAGTTCTCGTATAGGACACGCCGGCGTAATAATTACGTTAATATATTTTTGGAAATATTCATTATATTTGTGATGATGTTCTGATAATCGTTGAAGCTAACACACCGCTTGGGTTTCATATAGCCATCGGTAAAACGCAGCGCCCATGGGTTCCCTCTTGGTATAAGAAAGGAATATCGCCTAGCAACGGATACAGAACGGACGGACTTCCACGATGCTATCAACCAGTTAAAGACGGATCTACTCCCAGGACCATTTGGGACTACAAACAAATACGACACACTCGCGTCATTTCACCATGGAACTGTCGCAGTTGGGGCACATGTTGGGCCTGGCTTTTTGCCCTGGCATAGGATCTACTTGTTGATGTATGCGTTTAGTTATAAGCGTGCATGTTGTATGAAGTATTAAATATTCGTTCAATATCGAAGAATAAACATGTCAAATAATAATTGCTTGTGACCAATTGATAACTTCTAATATCTGTGCTAATTAACTTTACAGGTATGAAATCGCGTTGAAGCAAAAAATACCGGCTGTTTCGTTACTCTATTGGGACTCAACCATTGAGCAAAGTATAGCAACACCTCATTTGTCCAATCTTTGGTCCCCTATGTTCATGGGAAACGGTAATGGTGACGTTGTAGAAGGTCCCTTTGCAAACTGGGACGCAACAGATGGGGGAAAACTTTCACGCACTGTTCAAACCTTTCCGAATCAACTCACAACTCAAGCAGACATAATGGCGGTACTGTCTGGAACAACATTTGCAGGAATATTGTAGGCATTTTGACTGCTTGACATATTTAATATTTGTTCTATAAAATACTGTTACAAAGTCTTTCCTTCGTCTCATAGGAAATATCCATAAAACTGTTTTAAAATAGTTCATTGTATAAAGGGGTCCTTTAGCTTAGAACACATGCATACATGTAAAAATACACTTTATTGTATTGCAACGTACGATTGTTTTGATAATTTACATTTTAGTGGGTTGCTTGAGAGTATACACAACAAAGTCCATTCCTATGTTGGTGGACAAATGGGGGACATCGATTTTTCGCCAAACGATCCTCTTTTCTGGATGCATCACGCCTTTATTGATTGTATTTGGGAAGAGTTTAGACAGAACAGCCAGACGACAAATCTGGCCACTGAGTATCCGACTGCTTTTGGACAACATCATCCACAAGCTTCGATGCAGCCATTTAGCAACCTTGCCTCCACTGTACAAAATATAGATGGTCTAAGCACGCTTATAACATCGGCTTACTATAAGTGTAATCCACGTCCAAAGTGTCCCAATTGTAGTAACTCTGCACATTTATATTGTGATAAATCTGACAACCGCTGTAAGCCTTTTATAAAGGCCGATGACTGTGGAGCAGGTACTGTATTTGTCCCTGCAATAATATATTGTGACCAGGCAGTATATGGGAACCAACACTATGGAGTAAATGGAGTATATCTCGAAACATATGGCGTTAGTTACAAAGGACGAGACCAGGCTTATTACTTTGGTGACTATTACGACTACTACAATAAGCCACGATCTTCTAACCCGTCAAATTATCGACCAACGTATGCCGGTTACTTTCCAACTCGTCAACCATCAAACAGACGTACACAAGGACGATACAAGAGACAAACATCGCGTGAACAGTATCGACCAAAAGCGTATACAGCTGATGGACGTCCATGCAAAATTGAATGTTTCACAGGATACGGTCAAAACCAGAACCCAACCTATGGTTCATGTCCGACTAGAATTTATTTAGAAGGTAAAAACTTTGGCATATCGAAAATGAATGACATCTGAATCTTTTGAAGGAGTATCTTTGTCTGTGTATCCATCAATTTTTTCAGCTATATATTTTGACATTTACATCTTTCTAGAGTATGTTGAACCGACTCCGAAAAGACGAAAAAGACCCAAACAAGGTAGGAAGCCAAAGGCAAATACTTACCAAACGCCGTATGTTGAAAGAAGTGAGAACATATATCCAAGACCTGATTCATCTTACAGAGCACCTCCTGCCTCCCGTCAGTCAGAGTACTATCGCGTTACGTGCCCTTGCGAATTTCAACAATACACATACTGCCCCACGTATATACCTGGATATACAAAATCTAAGGGTAAGTTAGCCGTTGCATAAATGTATGAAGTACATTTCAGCATTTTAAACTGTATTACAACCCGTTAGTGCGACGAAACAGTACGAACTAAAAGCAACATTTTTTTAAAAAGACATACAAAGCACTTTGGAAACTCAAAACCTCTGCCACAATTATGTCAATAATAAAGCTAGATAAAGTTTCCTATTTATTAAGAAATGTTTTGCTTTTGTGTAGTTAATATAATTGATGCAACACGTGTATGTGTAGAGGCGGAAACGTTGTCTGCACAAATAAATGATGTGGTTAGTTACTATACTACTACTTTGTGTGGCTATGTAGTATCAATCAATATATAAATATAAAGCTACATATTATAACAGATCATTTAAAATATATTCAGGCTGTAGGTACAACGGGCGATTTTATGTGGAGAGAAGCTCGTTCCCGTCCATTGATGGATGCAACACGTGTACATGTAGAGGCGGAATTGTTGCCTGCACCAAAAACCAATGTGGTTGGTTCTTTTGTGTGCTTAATATTTCGGTTATATAGATAGATACACAATGTATATCATTGTGAATTTCTTCAGGTTGTACGTACAATGGACGATTTTATGCGGAGGGAAGCTCATTCCCGTCCACTGATCGATGCAACACGTGCACGTGTAGAGGTGGAATTGTTGCCTGTACCAAGAAACTATGTGGTTGGTTCTTTTGTGTGTGTAATTTTTACTTATCGGTTATATATATAAATATACAATATCATAATGTATCATTATGAATGTCTTCAGGTTGTACGTACAATGGACGATTTTATGCGGAGGGAAGCTCATTCCCGTCCACTGATCGATGCAACACGTGCACGTGTAGAGGTGGACGCGTTGTCTGCACCAAAAGAATATGTGGTAAGTTTTTGTGTGGTTGCCTGCTACATACAATTTACCTCAGCTCTATATCGAGTTTGAGAAGGCAATTGATAATTTCCGAAAATAAGAAATAAATTTTGATTGAGGCGGAACTGTTGCGAGAACCAAAGAAGCTACAGTAGTTGTAATTACAACTTGCATATAGTAACTAGAAACTAAATATTATGAAACGATTGTTTGTTCGGAGGAAAAAACCGTGTTTCCGACATTAAATTATGACAAAACCAAAAAACAAATAACTGAGATACGATCCTCTTGCGTTTTGGAAATTAAAAAAATCGTCAATTGAATATCACAGTACAGTAGTAAGTGGCTTAGTTGACAGTAGCCGCTTATATTATTCAGTTCAATGTTCTTAGGATGCCCACCTAAAACTCATCTAAGATGTAACAACTATCCTCCATGTTGTTGTATCAAAGATGCATGGTACCTGTCGTATCAGAATAACCAGTTTAAATCTGAAAGATCCTTGGTGGTATAACAACCACACATCCGTGTCCTAGGGGTCAAATGTTCGAAATATATTCATGGGATTCATGCCATTGCGGAGATCGTGGTGGCATGCTCAACTTTCTTCTCTAACCCCCTCCCCCGCCCTATCACACCAAATTAGTTCACAGCTGTTCTTTTCAGTCCTACAACAGTCGTAAAACGAACTGTGGTCGGAAAAAATGTCTAAAATAATCAGCCACTTTGTTCATAAACAGTCTTTAATACGCCCATCTCATCAGTTCGTTCAGGTCGCACCATGTCGATGTGTCCACGTACTGCAATTGATATCATGTCAATTCTTAAATTGAATTCTGCTTTCCTTGTGTGGTAAGACTACAGATAGAGTAAGACAAGATGAATCTGAAAATTCTTAAATAGTTTATAATCGTAAGTAATTCATTTTCAATAATCAACCTGTTTCACAAAGAAACGTTGTCTGAATAAAGAAAATATGTAATTCATACAGATTACTTAATTTGGAAATCAACCCTCCTTGTCTGCTTGTAAGGAATACTGGTGTTAAACGATTCGAGACTCATTACAACATTTCATTGTCATTGGAGCGCATGGAATCCATGGCAATATCGGCCATGTTCAGTCACATGTGGTACTGGACGAAAATACAGAAGTAGAACACGATCAAAACGTCCGGGAGGTTTGGAATGTCCGGGTGCTTCTATTGAAACAGGATACGTAAACTGTATCAACCCTCCTTGTAAGGAAAACTAGTTGTGTTAAAATAATTCGTGAAACCTCATTACAAAATGTCCTGAATCAGCGACTCAATACACAGTGGCTAACTTAGAAACACATTGTTTTATAGGTTGTCATTGGAGTTCATGGAGTCAATGGCAATATCGGCCATGTTCAACAACATGCAGGAAGTACAGAAGTAGAACAAGAAGGAAACTCCCGGGGGGTTCAGGATGTCCTGGTACTTCTATTGAGACAGGATACGTAAAGTGTTACGACCGTCCTTGTGGTGAGACATTTAGTATTTAAAAAACCGAGAAAGGAAAACAATTAAGAATAAACCCATTACATATTGAGAAATCATTTTTTTGCAGTGCTAAACATTGAGACCACGGGATGTTTCATTTTTACTGATGCCATTCAAGTTCAAGTTAAAGATCAAATTTAAATGTCTTGAGACATCAACTGTCAAATGGGTTGTGGCAACTGCATCTATCTGACAATACGCACATACTGTTTCCAGTATATCCGGGGGCATTCACTCATTTGTTAGAAACTGACTTGTTTTTCTGGAATGTTGGGTTAAAAAAAACAAAGAAATTGTCGATAATAGTACAGTCCGATTTTTTTCTTTCAGTCATCAGTTCTCTTATCTCATAATTATTTGAATTGGTCTATTTTAAACATAGAATGAGATCCTTATAACAAGGCCTGTGGTGAAAGGGGTTTCCACCAAAATGGATTACATTGTTTTTTTGTTTACAAACATGATTGCTCGTATAAAATATTCTCTATTCTTTTGCTTTAATGGCCCATAGACTGACGATGTCTTTTCAATGTCAAGAGTACTGTTTTGTTAAATAATCCAAAAGAGTGGTAAGCAAGACACGTTATCATGTTTGGTATCCTAAGCTCATGGGCTTTCCCTTCTCTTACTTTATATTATAGTCAAGATTTTAGGTCGAAAAACCAAGCGGTATGCCTTGAAATGCCTAAAGAAGACTACAAACATTTGGATTAAAAAATTAAAATGGTTGCCTTATATTTCCTGGAATATCTTCAACATGAACAGTTCGACATTTTGTAGCAACAATTATCTCAGAAATGTTAAAATAAATTCAACGAAGGGTTAACCTGGAAACGTATAGACAAAATCAAATAGGACACCCTTCTGATAAACATATAGCTCCAAAAGTTGTGATTAAAAGTGTGTTTGTAGTTTAAGGAAATGGTTATATCTGAAAATTCACAGATCGATAGAACGCTTTGACAACCTCCATTCTGTATTTAAAAAGTTCGACGTCCATTGCTACAAATATTTTCAATTAATTTTATATAATCATTTACTTTTAGATTGCCGAGAACCTTGTCCGCCTTGTCTTTTTGGTTACGAAAAGGCCATTCCAGGAGCATGTTGCCGAAAGTGTAAACCATTTCCTTTTACGTTTCCCCCGTCGACACGTTGGCCATTTAAAACGTATGTTCATTTCTCATATTGAACTTTTCCCTCGTTCAAATCAGACCAGTTCAAGGTAAAGTGAAACTATAGAGTTCAGACCGAATTTTGTTAAAATCACTGATACTATAAAATACCATAAAACCATGAATTTGAAGGTTGTAGACTATTGGTAGCAATGCATATTTAACGGGTTTAACAAACGGTATATATTCCAAAATGATAAGTGCAAAATAGTGCAATTAAACAATATACTTCTCTTACTAATTTCATATTGATTTGCTTTCAGAGATCTGGAATCTGATCCGGAGAACTTCAAAGCGGGGAAGTGAAAGATCAATATAATGTAAAATGTGCGAACAAATCGACATCATAAATTGTATTCTAAAGCAGCCACAAATATATTGAAATGATTTAGAAACATCAAACTTTTAATTCATAGTATATCATACCTTGAAAAAAAATTCAGAAGTCAAATGGAATTTGTAAAATATGCAATGTTGAAGCAGAAAATCATAAACACTTACGAATGCAAAGGAATATGTAAATACTCAAAATTTAAAGTTTTCTGAACAAGAAATTTTATTTTATAGCAATGAAGGAGATTTTGAGAGCAAATGCCATAGAAACCAGCTAGTGTTTAAACACAAGTTTGAAATTTGGAAAATTAGAAATAGTAAAATCTATAACCAATAAGTTCTGTATTCCTGTATAAGTACCAATGAATGAATGTAACCATTGTATATTATGTAAAAATTGTATAAATGTTTCAATGTTAATAAATTAATTAAAAATAATCATACCTAGAAAGGTAAAATATCATCATTTTGGGGGTTGGCGTCTAACTTTTCTTATTTGAGCTTCTAAAGACAGACGGATTGTTAAGAAAACAGTAGGGTTTTTAGTGCAAAAATGTTTTAATTCTATCTTTGATCTTATAAATTATCTAAATTATTGTTGACTTTGAAAATAATAAGCTAGCTCTTCTATTTTATATTCATACTTTCACGATAAAGTAAATCCAATGTTGACAGTTAGTTTAATGGGGTGTTACGAATGGTTACTTACACTAAAGTGATGCAATTACTAGCTATACAAAACAATGAAATTGTCCAATTTATTATTGGATTGTGTCTATTCATCACATGGATACTAAATATATATGGGATGACAACACAAAATACAATCGTATCCGACTGATATGACGTGATGTCCAATCGTATCCACGGATACAATGTGTTCCTTTGTCTTGAATATATCGCTAAAAATAATTTGACAAATAGCAGCCTTGTCTGATTGAACTGCCACAATGTATTTCCAATCATTATGTGTTCATTAAAATCATTCTAATGTGTCCATGCAATCACATTGTACAATACCTGTACAGTTTTACTAAATTTTGAGATTTTGAATTATATGTAGTTTTATTGATATTCCATGGATATTCACGCAAGGATGAAAATAACATGCCTAACAATTATAGTATGTCTCGAATTGTCTCGCAATCTTTATCCAATCAGCGTTTCCGAGTGTGTCGGCTCACGTATAAAAGGCGAATCCAACTCAAATCCATGCAGGGGTGTATGAGGTACTCAAATAGGAAAGAGCTCGTGAAATCTGAATTTATATGCACATGGTCAATGTTTACACATGTTTGGAGTTATTGAAGAAAATGTGATATGGGTATGGTTCCGAATTTAAAGTCATTGCTGTAAAAAATGAGTTTAATACGTGAAATTATATCTATAAATACAGCACTAAAAATAACAGTACAGAAGTACATGTATGATTGTGTTCAGAAATGTTTGAAACCCTTACGGAAAATTCTGTCTGCATTTTGTCACCATTGCTCTTTCTTCCCGCATTCTAGTGCTGTTTGAATGAATATATTAATTAATGTATTTCTAACTAAAATTTATCACATTTTTTATAAACAACAAACATTTAGATCATAAAAAATTGTTCAATACTTGAGTGAGCACGATATGCAAGGGTTACTAAGTTGATACAGTAAATGACCACTGATATTGTGTTAGTCCATGCACACAGCGTATTCTGCTAATACACAATACATTTGCTAACACCCCCACTTTCATAGTGAAGTGACTAATTGGTTTATGTTTACGTTTTAATGTGTTTTGGGTTCCTTGTTACAGCAAGAGGGGGCCAGTAAAGTAGACTAACATGTTTGCATGGCAAATTTTGATCGAATATGTGAGACACTTTAATTAAAAAGAGTGGTTCACTTTTGAATCGGATCGGATAGCATAATTTTTAAACAAATTCCAATAGT